TGGACCAGTGACCTCCTCAGTCTTCTCCTTCAGAAACCGACCAGGTCTACTTCAACAATTGCAAGTTCGGAATGCACGGGCCATTGGAGGACGACCGCCTGAAGGGGGTGCGTGGCTTCGTTTTCTTCGACCGCCCTTGTCCGTCTGTCTGGTCCGGGGGGAGTCCGGAACCGAACGCGTGACGCCAAGGAGGAGGAGGTCTTATTGTTTTTTTTTTAAAGGATCTCCAAGTAGGGAGCTGAAGCTCCTGGTTCATCCGGGTCTCCTCTGTTGGTGTTTTGGTTTTCTGAGCATGTTGTTGACGTTGTCTCTTTTGGGGGGGCGAACAGCTGGTTGATCGATGAGGAAACGAGGAAGGGCTTGAGGATGTTCATGTCAGCCTGTAGGGTCGGAAGAGTAACTTCCCAACGTCGATGAGGATGGATCACCCCAAAGTTGTACCATGACATACCTGGATCTTCCAACTATGCAACAGGTGTGCCTTTTCGGAGAAACAATGGGCCGCATGAAGGCAGACATTCTGCCTCTAGTTGAAAGATGTCCATTTCGCATCATTTGACCATGAGCTCGTGGATGTTCGTCCCGGTATTTCCGCGGCCCATCAAAGCCCCGGTATGCCATGCCAGCGTGCCTTTTTCCGGGCCAGAGGCAGGTCTCCTCCGGCAGGTTGAACGCCTCGCACCAAACCTGGACCTTCCCCTAGCAGCACCCGACTTCACAGGTCACCACCGTCGACTTGAAAAAAGTCTCCAGCCAAGCCCACCATTGACTCGGAGACCTGTGGAGTTGGTCGAAGGTTGCTGGTACAGGTCGGTTGGACCTCATTTTTACGGGTCAGTTGGTCATACAAAAAAGACGGAGCTGCGGAGTGCCGGAGGTGTTTAGGACTAGGTTCTCCATGGGGGACGGACCGGGTCCGGGGCCTCAAAACCCTATCCCAGGACCTTCCAACAGGTCACCACCGTCGCGACTTTTAAGTCTCCAAAAGCCACCATTTCGGAGACCTGTTGGAGGGTGCTGGTCTATTTGATTCTATTTGAGGGCCCGGATTCTTAGGGTAACCTAAATTAACAGTTGATTCCAAGGACGATGCCTTAGATTTTGTGTATATAGAGATTCCAATGTGTGATGGTCAATGTCGCTTCGATCGGGGGCGATAAACAATGCTTGACACCCACCGAGAAGGGAATTCTACTGTAAAAACTTTAAACAGTGGCAGGGTATCTCACGAAAAATGATGGATGAAGTCGGATGCGCTTCGCAAAGTAGTCAGGATCCGGACCCTGGCCTGGACCTGTTGCTTTGGGCCCAGGACCTCCAAAAAGGGGTAGGGTAGATGCGTAAACGACTTGCAGATGCTGATGCTTCTGCCCCAAGTCGTTTTTGCCCCAAGACGTGTTCTGCCTGTGCCAGCCACACGCCCTTGTCAATTCGAACGCCGACCGAAATCGGGCCAGGTCTTCTCACAGAACGCAGTCCTTGCATTGCAAAGTCACTTCAAAGACTGCTTCTTGGTCTAAGTCCGGTGCAGCTTCTGCAGTCCGCCGGTTAGCGATCGGAGGTGCCGGTGAGCCGGAGGAGTGCAGGTGAGACCTGTCACATCACATCCACGGTTCCGGGGACGACCCAAAAACCCACCCCACTCCATGTGACTGGTGGAAAAAACCATCTTCTTTTTGCGTTACGAAACGCGGAATGGCCTCCAACCCATGAAAAACGATGGGCTCCAACCTAGAAGTGTTCTTTATATCTCCCAGCCCCACAGTTGCTCATCTCGTTCGCTCGCAAGAGGGTCCAGTGCTCTCGTGTATCTCCTCCCCCCCTCTTCGAAGGTCGGGTTTTGGCTCGTGGAACCCAAGGCACAACTCCACCGACAATGTGTCTTTTTTCCTACCAACTCATGGTGAATTCGACCACCAAACATCACCAAATCGCGGACATGTGCGGAAATACATGCATGTCAGGAACTAGCAGTTATAGGTATACCTGTTAGTTCATTCAGCAAACCAGCAAACCACTTTATAAAGGCCACTTGGCCTTTTGAACTGCTCAACAAATGGTCCCAAATCCTTGAAGCAGCACCCCAACCGCCGCTCCAGGCTACCACTACTTCATTGGGCTCTGCAGTGGTGATTGTGAGGTCGCCCAGGGACTTCTCGTTCTCCGCCACCAGACAGGACCGACGCCGACCCTTCAGCGGAGACCAAACCCGCGCGGCGACTTCAGGTTGGAAGCCAGACACGGCCAGGGGTGTCCCGTTTGCTGCGCATGTTGAGCCTCATCCGAAGAAGATCCATCCAAACCTCGTCCCGAACGGAACCAGCAGCTCGCTACGAACGGAGCTGGCATCGCGACTCGAAGGGAACGATCGGACCGCGGCAACGAATTCGGAATTCAGACGCCGAGGCAATTGGGGCGAAGATCTTTGGGTCGACCAATGCTTGAAACGCCGTGCCAACGTGGCTGGGCCAGGGCATGTGGCAGGGCATGTGGCAGGGCACGTGAGGTTTCTTTTTGGCTCAAGCTGGTGGAATGTGGAGTCAACCCTTCCAGCATGACCCGGTACAAGAAGTCATGACTGTGGGGTGGTGCAGTGGTTCCAAAGTGCTACTTATACCAGACCCTGGATCGTCCATGATCCCATAATGTTTTTCGGCCCCTTTTGCCAACCTCAAAAGGCAGGACAGAAGCCAAACCTGCCGACGACCAGACGAACATTACGACGCTGACGTACCAGATACGACCCGCCGCGGTGATGAGAAGGGGGCAGGTCGTGGCATTCCCGAGAAGGGGGCAGGTCGTTTGTTTGTCCTCCAAAAAGAACCTTTGGCCACCAAAGACCGACATCCCGCCTGCACTCCGCCTACACTCGACCGTCTGCTCGACCGTCGCGGCGGATGGGTGGTCGATCGGTACGGGCCTGAGGGTTGGGTCGATGAAGAGAGGGGATACGAATTCTGGTCAAACAAAAAGGGTACCTGCCTGGAACCCCAGTCTCAACCAGAAACCCAATGAAACAAGTCCAGTCTGATTGTCGAATATGGCGCCAGCTTGGAATCCTTCAACATCGGAGTTCTGCTTGGGACTGGGGAGTTCCAACTAAGCTATGCATCTTCTCCGATCCGACCGTGGATCGAGGCAACCATCACTCGAGTGAACAAGTACGACTTGCTGGAAGAGGATCATTGCGATCCAGAGGACTCGCCCAAACTAACGTCCGGTGTACCGGAGGGTGGGATGTCCCGCTCACTTGGCTGAAGTCCGGTCGGAGGGGTGGCGAGGGGCAGGGGTGGCGCCGGTAAGCAGAAGCAGGACGCGACTAGACATTGGACAGTTTTAAGTCCAAGGATCAAGAAGGCAAGAAGGCAGACATGTTATCATAGTTTGAAGAATTATGGCCCAGACACTCCATGGGACTGCCATATATGCCTACATTGATCCCTCAAACCACCCCAACTGATCGGCATATACGGCAGTCCCATGGGTCGTGTCTGGGATATTTTCGTTTTTCCGCTGACTCGTGAGTCTAGACCGCCCAGGCTCCAGCCCTCCAGGTCTGAGGCTTTTGGAGACTTTGGCTGGTGGGGACCTCTGAAGTCGGGTGCTGGTAGAGGAGACCGATCATCCCCTTCTCATAATCAGAGGCTTTGCGTAGGACACAAAACCCAGACACTCCATGGGACTGCCATATATAATAATATATATATATATGGATTGGCTACATTGACCCCCCTGGCACCACCGCAATGTAGGTATACATGGAATGTCTGGGTGCATGCGTCAAATCAACGTGTGTTTCTCCGCTCTGAAGCCGCACACCAACCCTCTCTACCCCGATGCTTCTCATCGATCGCTGTGGAACTCGCTCCAGGATGGATGGGAGAGCTGCGACAACCCCAAGAAGGTGCCCAAAAAAGTGAGATGAAGACGAAGCAGATACACACCTGGACCTTCTTTCGGGGTGTCCTGTTTGGAGGTCAGTGGTGGGCTGGGGCGAAACCAGCCAGGGCACCCCTTGTTGGAAGGTCCTGGCACACACGTCCATGGGCGCGGGATCGGACCTGGACCTCCACCGAGAACGCTTTGGGAGTGACACCCAGCACACCCAGCACGTGTACAGAGGGCTTTCAGAGTCTCGATGGAAAGGGGGAGAGTCAATCCCAGCCCAGACGCGACCCTGGACCCGAATTCTCTGGAGGGGTCGGACCCGAATCCTCTCGAGGGATCAGGGGTCGTAGAAGCAATCCCGGTTTTGAGGGACCAGTCGAGTGTCCTTCACTTAGCGACTGGGAGGAGTCAATCCACTCACGCATCAGGGACACATCCACGGAAGGTCCAGGGGTCAATCCACGGAGCTATGCCACGATTCGTGTCGGGGTCCCCCTGTCACATCCACTCACGTGAGGACCAAGGGGACACCAAGGGGACCTGGGGGGCTCCCACCCCAACTCCATGTGACTCCTGGAAGGTCCATACCCAGACGCTCCAAACAGCCCGACTGGTCCCTCAAAACCTAGGGATTGGTTCGACCCCTGACCCCTCCAGAGGATTCGGGTCCGACCCCTTCGCGTCTGGGATCCGATGAATTTCTTCCAGTCGTCGCCGACGTCGCGTTGTTGGGTTGGATCGGATCTCGGATCGGCTCGTACGGAATCGGTGGAATCGGTCGACCGAAGGAGAGGTCTGAAGGAAGGGAACTTTCGAAGGGAACGCGGCGAAGACATGCGGCAAAAAGAGCTCCAAGCTCCAAGTACGGATAGCCCAAACCCACCCCAAACACCGTCTCAGGATGTATGACTGGAGCCCCGTCGGCATCCCACACCCCAACTGGAGCCCCGTCGGCATGTGACGTCGAATCTGGTCGGTCAGATCCAGTCTGTGCTGGTCGGCTCATGCGTTTTGCCGAAAGGACAGCCCCATTGGGCAGTGGGTTAACACCGGAAATACCTGGTTTGGCTACACCCCAAATGAACAGACGATCCCATGGACCCTGATAGACTTTAATGGTGGGTAGAGGAAAACCATCGGACCCAGGGGGCCAGGACCTCAGGGTCTATGTGAGTTTTTGTTCGGGTTGACTACCAATGAACAGACCACCTGCAACGCCTCCGCCTGAGGACCAACACCAGTCGGCGTCCCATAGAGTATTGTTGGGGTCTTCCATGGGTGACCCATTCAATGTGTCGATGGCTGGAAGAAAACGTGTAAGCCATCCAGCACCACGGATTTCGGGTGTCCATGAATAGCCCCTTAGAGGTCAAGGGGTGTCCATTAACCACTCCTTGGGGGTTCAGGATGACAATGACATTTGGTGTTTTCAACTGATCCCTTAGTTTCTTTTTTCAATAGCTTTGGTCTGTGAATCCAATGCTTCTCTTGGTCTTCTCCGTGCGATGCTCCTTCTCACGCAGGTCGCCTTCCACCCATTCAAGTCGAAGGAAGAATGGCTGAGCTGCCTCAATCATGCTGGTGGTTGAGGCAGCGGACGTGACGTTCGGCGTTCAGAAACGGTGTCGCCGGGTGACGCCGGTGTCTCTGCTTCCTGGCCCAACAGTCATTTAAGAGGCTGAATACCGAAGAAGCCATGTTCTACTACAGACACCAAGTAAACCTTTCTTTCAAGACCCCATGTTCAAAAGGGGGAACGGACTTCCACCGGCCACAGCTGGCTGGCGAGCTCCTTTTTCAGCCTCTTCCCCACAGCCCCACAGTGGACCTCCGTGCATGGCATGGTGCAAAGCTGAAAAACAGTTGGCAGAGACCCACATGGAAGCTGAAAAGCACACCCGGTTTGTAGAGGAAAAGAATCTTCCAAAATCTTCCACTTTGGTCCATGCCATCAGGTTCCATATGGGTCTCTTCCCAGGTGTAAAGCAGTTTTTTGCATCATAGAATCATAGCCGCTTAGTCTTAAACTCAAGCTTAATTACTTGTGCTATTGAGTTGGGGGCCATCGCTTCTAGGTTGGAGGCCATCGCTACTGTAGTAGGTTGGAGGCCATTGCTATTAGGTCTGCTGCGATTTTGACTTTTGTTTAGACGCAGTACTCAATCTTTGTAGCTTTGGTGGGCTGGGCCTCATCGTGTGACTTGCGGAAGAGGAACTGATCAAGGGCGATGTGAGTTACTCAAAGGATGGGGCGCCGGTTGCGTGATGCTTCATGATGCTTCAGCTGTCCACGCCGTATAGATCCAAATGAATTCGATACCCGGTACCCCAAGAGCGAGCCAACCCATTGGGGGAAGATCCAGGGAGGATCCACCGAGCTTCAAACCCACCCAAGCGTGCTGATGGCACCGTCCCACCGATCCACCAGAGAAGGCCAGTCGTCCAAGATCTTCGAAGCTTCGGAGTCCTGCGGTGAGATGGACCCTAGGGCTCCAGTCGTACCTCCGAAACGAAGGTATCTGGACCCTCTAAACCCACCCCAGTCCCACCTTCTCAGAAGGTACGACAGGAGCCCTAGGGGGAGTCATGAACTTGCCATGGCGAAATCGACCGAATTCGGGTCCACCCAAACGCTGAAACCAGGCCGACCGGTCCCTCCAAACCCGGGTTTTGAGGGTCCGGACCCCTCCGAGGGTAGGGAGGGTCCCACAGTTTGTTCAAGATCCTTGAAGGACCACCTGGCTGTCTTCCTAAACACCAACAAGCCCAACAGCAACAAGCTTGGCAGCTCATAGTGATTTCCCCCCCCCAAACAAAAAGAAGAAGAAAGAAGCAGCTTCCAACAGAGCTTGAAAGACCCTATAGACTATCCCAGTTCGGTACCCCAGGTTTTCCGGGTCCGAACGTGACCTGGTCACTGGCTACCTCTCTTGCTTATAACAACCTTCGAGTTCGTGTTCGCTCGGTGCCGGTGTTTCCGGCCCCCGGACCCGGTCCGGACGTGCCGACGCGCGTCCCGCGAGCGCGTGTGGCGCTGCCAGGGCGAGACGTCTTGACCACGAGATCTTCGTGGGTCTCGAGGTGCGATCGAGTGGAGGGCACCGTGGAGACGAGGCTTAGAGCCAAGCGAGGAGAGGTGGGTGGGCACCGTGGATGTATGGAAGATGCCTGGATCTTTCGACTGTGCAACATGGATGCCTTTTCATCTGAAAAAGCCATCAAGACAACCAAAAGGCAGACATGTTGAATAGTTGGAAGGTCTAGGTTCACCTACATGGACCCTTACCATCACCCAACTCCCTTACCATCACCCAACTGATCGGCAAACATGCCAGCAACCGGCAGACAGACACCCGGTACTGACCACCGAGCGAACACCGAGCGAACACGGGACTCGCGGGACCGGCGGATGCGGCGGAGATCGGCGGATGCACCAGGAGGCAGCCAAACGCCACCAACGTCGGCGGAACGGACCGTTCCGGAGGTTGGAAGATGTTGGAATCCCATACTACACGACTAGTCTGGGACTGCCAGTCCGGACTGCCGAGAAAAACGGCCAGGGGTGGTGGTGCCAGGGGGGTCAATTGATTGGCAGTCCTATGGCAGTCCCATGTGTCGTGTCTGGGGAAGGCCTTTTTCAACGTGGGACCCCCCGACATGGAGTTGTCTCACAAGAGTCGGACGAATGACCGGTGCCCAAAGCACCGGGTCCTTATGAGGTGGTCTTTTCTATGCTTTTTTTTCGGGAGTGTGGATGTGTTCCAAGAGGGAGACCGACCTCCCAGTCGTTTGGCCAATACGTAGTACCATGGAGTCAAGCTTGTTTACCAGGCCACAGTATACCCTCAAATGGGTGTGTGTGTGTGTGTGTGATGTGTTTAAGAGGGAGAGACCGACCTCCCCTTGACCGACGCCGAACCGAAGCAGGTCGACCGAACGGATCTAATGAGATCCCGAGCATTCGAGCAGGCCCAGGTTTGAAGGGTTTGAATCCAAAGAACCTGGAACTGGTACTTTGGGTCTGTCCGAACTTGGAACTTGTACTTCGTCAGTAAACAATGACAATGGTCATTTTAGAGAAAGGCCTTTACATGCCTTTACTAACCATCATCATCCACGGTTACTGGTACTAGGATAGACCGGTAGACCCAATTTTTACTTTAGGGATTTTAGACTTCAAACCAGGTGAACATAGAACCATCAAAAGAACGGTCAGACTGTTGATGAATAGACTTTTACATGACTTCGTTTTTTGCAATCCAAAGGGTGGACTCTCATGAATCAACAGTCTATACATTCTTTGAGTTGAAGCTTCAAGTGCTCCGTTCGACTTCCTTCCCCGAAGGTTCGGCGTCGAGTTCGTGTGGTCGATGTTGGCCCCAGAGGTCCTGAGGTCCAAGCACTCGGCGTTTGGAGGGTCTAGAGTCTTTTTGGCCAGAGCGCTCAGAAGGCCCAGAGGTGTGCAATGGAGACCTGTACGGGTCCAAACCTCGGAAGAGTTATGTCAGTGATGTCTATATGACAGGGTATAATAACTATATACACCCTATAGGCTTCCAACCACCATTAATTTAAGAGGCTTTACCGAATCAACTAAGCTTAGAAGGATTTTACACTACAAAAGCCAGGTCAACCATTTTTTAAATGGTCTTGGAAGTCTAGGGTACATGTACCCTAGAAGTCCAGTGCGACGATACTTTGACCAACTGAAGAAAACGGAAGCTAAAGGCATCTATAAAGACCATGACTTTGCTGGTCTTTGACTTTGAGGGTGTGTTCCATACATGACATGGGTGGCTTGGGTAGCATTCAGAGCTGGACTCGAGCTGGGCCAACAGGTGCTCGATCCTGACCGATCTGGACGACTCGTGCTCGATCGGCCCGAAGCCTGGGTTCGGAACCGGGCTCGAGTCGTAGCTCCGGTCCCAGACACTCCATGTATGCCGTATATGCCTACATTGGGGTGGTTTGAAGGGTCAATGTAGGCATATATGGCAGTCCCATGGAGTGTCTGACAGGGAGGTCGAGCGTGGGACACCTGGCTGTGTTCACCCTTGCTGGATCCCGGGGACCCTTTGTGGTGGGGGAGGCCACCCTCCAAACGCTTTGGAAACTGACCTGCCTGGAACCCCAGTCCCAACCAGAAAGAAATGGATGTTTCCCCAAACAACCGTTTCCTATGTAAAGGATTTCAATTGCCATATTGGAACAACTGAACAACCATTTGTTTCTGGTTGGGACTGGGGGTCCAGGTGGTTCTATAAGAGTTTGTTGAATGAAGAATCGCTGTCCAACACCGGTGGAGACACCGTTGCGCCCTGCAGGCGACTGCGCCCGGATGGATCAGCGGCGTCCCGTCGTCTTTTTCGACGGACCTGGCCCGAATGCGGCGTACTGGATTCGAAAAAGAAAGAAGCTGGTTTCACCGATGAGAGCGGGTCGAGATGACTTGAGGCCTTATAAGTATTATATAGATACGTAGCAAAAAGATCTAGCGGGTCACGGGCAACCCAGGAAAACGACTCGAAGCTTCCCAGTCGCACCTACTAGGCTTCCCAGTCGCGGTGTGGCGCTTCTCAAGACATCTGATCCGCCGGTGGGCTGCTCTCGGAGTAGAACGGCCCGAGCCCGCCGGTCCCTTTGCGCCGGAAACGAACCCGGAGTTGGGCCGGACGAGACACGAACCGAGACACGGCTCATGTCCGGCTCCAAGCAACGGCGCCCGGAGCGGAATTAAGTGAACGTGAAGATGGCAGCAGAGTTGGTCTCCACTGAGGAAATGGATCTTAAGATCGTTTAAATATCATTCTAACATCGATATGTCATCCATTTGCCAAGATTTGAAGAAAGACATCTTCAGACCAAGAGACCAGCTTGCAAGAGTGACACGCGTTTGTTGTGCACGCGTTTCTGGTTCAGAACCCAGGGTGGAGGGGAACAGGAGAATCATGGTATACAGGTCTAGAGACATGATGAAACAGGCACCAGTACGTGGGCGGTTATTGGATTTGAAGACACTCTAGGGGGGTAAAAAAAACTCCTGACATCAGTGACGCATCGCTGACTCCGCTTTCCAAGGACTCCTGGGATTCATTTGGACGTATCGGGTCAAGGGTTGTGGATTTTATCGCTCGCGGATGAGCTTCGAAAAGACTTGGATTCGACCGAAAAAGCGGGCGATGCTTTAGTCCTCCACGTTCACATGCGAGCGATTCTTTCGTCCTCCACGGGGTATTTTGTGAGGCTCGGGACACCCTGGACCTGAGTGTTGGGGGATAATTTGGACCCCTACTGTAGCTTGCGCATGCTTGCGGTGTGGGAGATTTCTTCACTTGAGCAGCTTCTAATTGTGCGGGTGTTGGGGAAGACTAGACATCCAAAGCCCAAGTGCTCCCTCAGGCGTTAAACAAAGACTTCTCCAGCCTCCAGCGTGTTGAAGATGATGTGGTTTATGTCAATCAATGTCTGACACTATTAGGATCTATAAGGCTTCATTTGTTTCACTTTGTCTCTGACCCGGGAGCGGCTGCATCCAAACTCGCCTTTCACGAGAAAGTCGTGAGAGACAACAATCCTTTCTCACCTGGGAAATCCGTTCTCAAACAACCCAAACAGTGGAAACTGTCCGAACGACCTACCGGACCGACTGCACATGCATTTCCACCGCCCTCTCCGTCTCCCCCACCTGCCGGCGCTCTCTGCGCCATCGACGTGCCGCGCCCACCGGTTCTGGCGATCTCACTCGCTGTGGATGGCCGTTTCGACCTCCGGTCCGCCCGGGCCGCCCGCAGCGATGGCCCCCCCACCGACGGCACCCTTTGTGGCCATGGGGCTAGCTAGAGCGAAATGAACTTCTGAGATGGTGAAAAAAGGGGTGGAAAAACCTCGAAGAAGAGCAGGCAATGAAACAGAACCCGGAATAGAAAGACATGATGTCGCTGCAGAGTGCAGCGAAATCAGCGGAGAGATGGGGGAACTGTCGGGATCTTGCCTTACATCATCTATGATCCATCTTTACATCTGCAAAACCACTCAGTCAGGCTATGGGATAGGATATCTGGATCGAAGGCATCGCATGTGTCTACCAAACGTGGCAGATCAGCCGATGTGTGGATGCGCAGATCGATATACCCAGACACGACTAATGGGACTGCCATTATATACATATACCCTAGGATTCAAACAACCATTGTTTTAATGGTCTTTACCAAAGAACCATTGTTTTACTAAGGGATTTTGCACTACACCACCCGCTCAACCGTTCTTTTAATGGTCTTTGAAGGCTAGGGTATATATATGCCGATCAATTGGGGTGGTGCCAGGGGGTCAATTGATCGGCATATATGGCAGTCCCATTACTGGGATGGTTATCTAGTATGTTGAATAGTTGATGTTCAAAAAATATCCATTTCAACTTTTGGTTACTGTCCCAGACTGGTCGTGTCTGGGTACTTCCAACCCTTTGGCTGACCTCTGCCGGTGTGTTCGGCGACCAGGTCGGCTGGACTGAGGTGTCCACCTGGGGCGCGCTTGGCTAGTTAAAGCCATGACGTAAACCTACATGTTCTGAAAGGATGTTTGGATTGCACTTTCAGGCACACTTCGTCGTTACTAGTAGCGATGGCCTCCAACCTCATAGCGATGGCCTCCAACCTGATAGCGATGGCCTCCAAGCTACGTACACATACGCAGCTTCTTGTTAGCAAGCACCCACTCCTGACCGGATGGTTACAGCAAAAACGTCTGAAACTCAAATCATCACGATGGTCGCAGGGTGCTGTCGTGGAAGCGATTCGACGATCAGGATCCATTGGTCGTCGGTCGAGACTCTGATTCCTGAACGCCACGGCCTTCGCCCCTGCCGAGCGGCCGAGTCCTTCTGGAGTGGAACCATGGTAGCTGCCACCGGGGGATAGCTACCCTACAGGTCAGTTGGAGCTACAGGTCAGTCAGACTAGAGTTGATCGTACAAAAAGCAGTACTGTTGAGGTGCAGGATCAGGCCCCAAAACACCCTGTTGATCACCACATGCCGAGACCCAATTCCTCGCCACGTGCTTCCCGTCGGTGCGTCACCCTGTTGCAGGATAGGACTTCAAAGTGGGACCAGGTTTGGTAGAGAAGAGATATTGCTGCCACTTCTCAATTAGAGCAACCGGAAGTTCCCTTTGCCGCGCCGCAGACCGTTTTCATGTCGACCCACCAGACCTCGACTTTGGCAACAAGAGACTAGCCGCCTCCACCAGTGGGCTGGTCCTGTTACATCCTGTTACATCAATAAGTGTGTATTGAAATAGGGCGACCTCCCAAAAAGAACAGGAAGAAGGAACATGATCCATTAGGCCCAAAACCCATTGCTTGGGGGTACCCCCTAACCCATTGCTACACACACACATATATAATTTAATATGGGAAATCTAGCTCCAAGCGACCACACGACCCCACAAAGAATGTGGTGTGGCGGCCTTGGTGGGTTCGGAATTCAAGGCCCGAGCTTCATCGTTTGCCACCGAAGAACCATTGTTTGTTTAAGGAGCTCAGGCGACCAAAAACCGCAACATCCCTCAACCATTTTTTAGATGTCATGTTCATGTTTGAAGTGCTCTTGGAAGGCTAGGCTAGGAGAAGGGATGCCCTCAAGTTGAACAAAATGAACTCCTCAGTGCTTCTCCCCGAACGCATGGCGTCGTGTCAGATTGTTTCATCGGAACGTGTCACAGCAAAATCACCAATGGCCCTTAGACTCGGATGGGGTTAAGCTGTGGGTGCGACTGCTTTCACAGTTGCACAAGCCTCGCACCTTAATTACTCTTAGCACGGCGTCCGTGTGCAGAGCTGGTTAAATGAGCAGACATGGTTTTTGTTTAAGACTGTGACTGCAGACTGCTGCAGACATTCAACCCGAACTGAAACACGGTGGTTGAATCGGGCGCGCTTCCTAGGCCGGGGTTCAGACCGTTTAGACCGTGGTCATGTCGGGTCATGTCGAGTCGTCCCGAAGAAAACCCCGAGAGGAAGCGGCTCGAAAGTTGATGGTCGGGTCGTCCGTTTTCTGAGCACTCATTTCTGAGCTCTATGATGCCACCCCAACAAAAACCTTGAGGACCCCCCATAAAACGATGGAGAAAACGACCGCGGGCGGTACCGGTGTTTCACACCACGCTTCAATGTTTGCCTTCATGTTCTCCATGTAGAGAACAGTTGCTGGTCTTCCATTGGTTTCTTTTTCAGATCCACTGGGCCCTGGATCAGCTCGGATCCTGCCGATTCGACACTGCACGGCGAGATGCCGCAGATCGATGCGATGGAGATGCGATGACACGACCGTTTGAGATGCGGAGCCTTCGACTCGATATGACTCCACAAAGTCTGATATTCGATAAATCTGCATGGGGGCTTCAGGGTGAGGCGTTCGATTCAAGCTGCAAGCGAACGATGGGTTTGCCAGTTCCATGGAGGATCAGGGTGCCGGTTCCGGAGGAAGGAGGAAGGAGTGCAGGTGCCCCTGTCACGTCACATCTTTGTCTCCCCTGGTTGAGAGACACAGGCGACTGGCAGGCGACCCGTTTTTGGACATGTTTCTGACTCATGAAGCTCTCCAACTGGGAGAGCCATCATATGCCGTCATACTATATACTTAGCCGGGGGATGCTGAACTGAGTGACTTTTCAGGAGCCTGGCGGTTTCCCCGCTGAAAAAAGACGGAAATCGGCGTATCCAGAAGGCTCGACCCATCACCCAGACACGGTTAGCGCGGACTGCCAGGACGGACTGCCGCCCCAGACAGACCCCCCAGTCAACCACCCCAATTGATTGCTATAATATCCAGACACGACTAATGGGACTGCCATAGGACTGCCGCCCCATTGACCCCTCTGGCACCACCCCTGGCCTGATCGGCAGTCCTACGGCAGTCCCATTAGTCGTGTTTGGGATCGGAGTGGGCTCTCGGACGCACGACTCAACAGCCGGATCGGCGATGTCCGAACTTGGCCCGTCTCCCGTTGTGTGGGCGAAGTTCGGAGTGAACATGAAGTCAACATTTGGGGTTCCCCGTACAAGTCATGTACCAGCACCTTCCAAAAGGTCTCCTCTGGAGGCTTTTGTAGACTTAAAAGTCGCAGGTGGTGACCTGTTGGAAGGTCCTGGTAGTTGAAACTTACTTCAAATACCAGCGCATGGTACATCCATCACTTCCCATCGCGCAGCTTGCGGCAACTTCTCCTCGCCGACGGATCAGACATCCAGTGGATTGAGAGTAGATGGGACAAACCCCCCAAGTTCGGTAGTTTGTATTGATCCATATTGATCCCCATCTGTCGACAGGACATTGATGGGCGGGTTCTGTGCCATCTATATACATTGAAATCCAGTAGGTGTTCATTTTCCGGCGTTCAAGATCTTTTGGTGTCCCGAAACAAAAACATAACCATTCCTCACGTGTTGAACACGTGTTGAGCATTGCAACCGGCCTTTTGAGGGTTCTATGTGTTTCTCTACCAGCACCCTCCAACAGGCTGTTAGTTGAGGGTTGTTGGACCCTAACAGGTCTCAATTGGTGACCTGTCGGAGGGTCCTGGTATGTGCTTCTATGGTTTCCCTTTGTATGTTCTTAAGCTTGTGTTTCTATGTGTTTCTCAATGCCTGCAGGGAAATCACTGGAATTCAAGCTTTCCTTTGTAAGCTCAGCCAGAAAGGCCAAGTCGAAGAAACATCAACTGCACCTATCCTACCCAGACACGACCCATGGGACTGCCATATATGCCGATCAGTTGGGGTAATGCCAGGGGGGGGTTCAATTGATCGCCATATATGGCAGTCCCGTGTTTGGCGTGTCTGGCTATATACTTGCTTCCATCTCTGAGCTTTTGATCCGGGATCCGGACGTCGACGTCAACAACAGATGCCTTTCTTTAATCACAGCCTTCATCGAAACCATCGTCGTCCGCTTGCTCAGTCCAAGCTTGCTCCGTGCTCCGGCGGTCGTGTGGTCGATCAATCGACCACCTCCAGTCCAAAGACGACAACAACAAAGGAGGTGGACGGATCCCAACATCGCATCCCCACTAGAGCTTCAACAGCGCTGAAATGGCCCAAAAGGGGGAGAGAGTGCAGCGGAGAGGAGCAGCGGAGAGAGGCACTTTCTGAGGAACAGGAGGTCCCAGAAAGTGGGTTGTAACCCCTGGTTGGGCTCCCAAGGCTGCTATCAGGGTCTGTGTATGACCGAAAGGTAGAATTAATAAGAACACATGAAAAACGGATTGTAGAGCCTCTTCTGCCTGGGGGCTTTATGGATCAAGAGTCTAGCAAGTCTAGTAGTTTGGACCATCCAGGGAATTTATTTGAATCAACTACCCTGGCACAGTTGGTGGGTGGATCTCCAGTTCTCAACTAGGGAGACCCTCCCAAAGACCTCCAATGAAGTCCGATGCCAAAGCGCAGCAAAGCGCAGGGGCCCTGGGGATCGAGGTCCGCCCTCGGTTGTTGGGGTTGTTGGGCGGACCGGCGATCCAGGTCTCGACCATGTCCAGCCGATGATGGTCCAGCCGACCGGTCTGTTCACCATGCTTTCCTATACATGATGGATGGGGCCACTGGATCATGATCAGCATTGACTCTTGACTCTCCGATGTGTTCGAGTTTCGAGGGCTCGATCTCGTCTCCAAGCGATTTCCAGCCCCTACTTCGAGTGACTCCAGCTGATTCACCCACCCTTGTGCTGTTTGAGCCGCGATGCGCGATGCCAGTGCAGCTGTTCCGCGGCTAAGGCACAGCTTCCTTCGTTCGGACCTGATCCCTTCAGCCTATGGGCTGTCACGCTGTGACTCTTCACCCTTGCTGTTGGATTTTGTCCACTCGGACTTGATCTTGCCGACCCACAGCTCTGTACACTCAGGCCGTGTTTTCCAGGGGAAGGGAAAGGGGGTCAGGCAGACTCTTGAGGACCATACACCCACCCCAGAATTGAAACGCCTCTTCATATGGGGGGTGTTATGGTCCTCAAGAGTCCTCAAGAGTCTGCAGGTCGTGCGATCGAATGGATCTTGAGCCCTTCGGAGCAAGAGACATGGAGACTGGACGATATTAGGGAGTCCAGGAAAGACCATGTTGTAAAACGCTCTTTAGGTGATCCGAAAAGGGAGTCTTTCGACTTACTTACTGTAGGGTCATACTATATGAATCTTTATATATATATATATACGCAATAATTACATTATACTACTCCATGGGACTTCCCTATATGCCGATCAATTGGGGTGGTTGACTGGGGGTCAATTGATTGGCATATATGGCAGTCCCATGGAGTATCTACTATATATATATATACTAATCCTTTATAAAGAATCTGATCCGCACCCCACCGACCCCTTTTCCCCTCACCCGAAACGCCGGGGAATTCCCGGGGGCGTCGTGGGCGCGAGGTGGGTCGGGAGAAGTCGGGGGAGGGAGGGGAAGCTGATAGCAAAAGATGGCCTCCACCTACCAGGGAGGGATCCAGAACAAGTCTTGGCTGCCAGGTTTGCCGCCTTTGGCCTTTGGGATTTCCCAGCCCGAGCCTTCGTCACCCTCGTTGGACCTTGCGAATCTGGACTTCTTCTTGGTCTCCGGGCTGAAAAGAGGAGAACGAAGAGGAGAGAGAGAGAGATGGGAGAGGAACGGACCCCAGCCCAGTGTCTTGGTGAATACAGTCCAAGACATCGAATGGCGCCATTCCACGTAGGTTCTGCGCCCAAACGTGGGTGTTCTAGCTGCATTGAGCTACCTGCATTGCCACATCGGCTGAGTCGCTACGTTGCTGAGTCATTAGAGGTCGGGCAGGTCGGGGATGCATCCCAGGGCGCCCGCAGCCTGGGTCGGTCGGACCTCGGACCTGAAACCACCGTGACACGAACAGATCTTTGGGACCAAATCGCCAAGCAGAACAGCCAACTCATGATGGCCTCCAACCTAATAGCGATGGCCTCCAACCTACGGTTCTTAGCGATGGCCCCCAACCTACGGTTCTTAGCGATGGCCTCCAACCTACGGTTCTTAGCG